GTAGTCCTTATTTATGTTCAAAATGTAAATGTGAGCCACAGGAAAACCAAGCACCTCGGGCTCTTAAGGCACTCACTCTCCCTGAGCCTGAGACTGCTGTCCCCCAACCTTTGAAACTTGAGGCTAAGAAAGCATTAGTCAAAGCCTTGCCCACTATTACTGAGTCTAAGTCTTGCTTTTCCAGTTCTGAGCTTGGGACTTCTAGACCAGCCATGATCCAAGCCTCTACAGGGCTATACCCATCCTTAGGAGAGTTTATGCAAGCTCCTCAAGGACAATATCCTTCACAGGAAGTAAATGGGCAATTTGGAATTTCCAAAGTTCATGTGTCTTTCTTACAGTGACTTAAAACTGATAAAGCGATATCTACAGAAATTTTCAGATGACCCTGGTAAGTATACTGAGGTCTTTAGAGGCCTTACTCAGACCTATGAGCTAGACTGGAAAGATGTAATGCTACTTTTAAATCAAACATTGACTTCTAATAAGAAACATGCAGCATTACAAGCTGCTATTACACTTGGGGATGAATATCACATTGTTAATTTTAGACAGCCTGAAGATAGGCAGCCAGTGGAACAACTAGTTCCCACTAGAGCTCAAGCAGTCCCTACTCAAAGCCCCTGCTGGCCTAACAGCCAGATAGGAGATTGGAGCAGGAGACATTTTCAAGTATGTATTCTTGAAGGTCTAAGAAAGACAAAAACCAAGCCCTCTAGTTATTCTACATTGTCAACTATTTACCAGGGAAAAGGTGAAAAACCCTCTGACTTCTTAGATCATTTATGAGAGGCACTGATAAAACATATGTCCATAGCTCCTGGACAAGGCCTCCAACAGAAGGACAGATTATGCTTAAAGACATGTTTATTACCCAGTCAGCCCCAGATATTAAGAAAAAGTTACAGAAAATAGCTTTTGCTCCAGATAGTTCACTTGATACTTTAGTAAAAACTGCTTCCTTCATATTCTATAATTGAGACTGGGGGAAAGCCAAGGAGAGAAAGGAAAGAGATCAAAAAGCTGCTGCCTTTGCTGCAGGCTTAAAAAGAACAGACCCTAAGTCTGATTCTCGGGGCTCCAAGAAAAACTCAACAACTACACTCAACTGCTACTACTTTGGAAAGCCAGGCCACCCTAAGTGGTACTGCCTTAAGAGGTCCCCCACGCCATGCCCTGATTGCAAAGACAGTCACTGGATTCAAAACTGTAGAGCTCAGATTCATCTTCCCAGCGAAACTAAAGGGCAAAACTAAAGGGCCTGGCGTACTCTGCTGCCTCCTCCTGGCCAGATCGTCACCTTTACCTATCATCTGCATGGAGGAGCCCTGGGTAATCATGACTAGAGGGGAAAAACTTCCAGCCTATTACTGGCCATCGGCACATGTCTCTTTGTCCCTCTCCAACTCTGGCCTTCCTTCAAGCCATCATACCTCAATAAAAGGAGTCATCAGAAAAATAACTCTCTTAAGCTATAACTGAGATAACTTTCCCTTCACCTATTCCTTTTAGTTATACCTAAAAGCCCAGCTCCCATCCTGTAGTGAGGTTTTATCCTGTCTAAATACTGTAATATATATACCCAGGTTGCCAACTAATCAAAATGATTTACAAATACAACACAACCTTATTGGTTGGCTATAGTTTTGTCCTACCTCATGCCCACATTGTGATTTCCCATTTTCCTCCACCTTAGACCTACCTCACCTCATGATTTTGCTCTATAAAAATCCCTAGAAAAGGCAGGGTCCTCGGCAACCTGCTCGGGAGCACTTCTGTCTCTCTCTCAGATGGAAGCTTTCTTTCCCCAATAAATATATTCTGCTCTAAATAAATAAATAGAAACACTAAATCTGCTTCAAGAGAGAATGGGCAGAACTCTTGAAGACATTGGTGTATGCAAAGATTTCATGAACAAAACTCTGATCACACAGGAAATAATACAAAGAATCAATACCTGGGATCTCATCATATTAAAAAGCTTTTGCATATCAAAAGAAATCACCAATTTCTTTGGTGACAGAGTAAAAAAACACCTTGCAGAGAGCCAGTTGTCCTTCAGACAGAGCACTTATATCTAGAACATATAAAGAATTGAAAAAAAAAAATCAAACCTCCCAACTTAAAGACCCAATCCAAAAATGGGCATCTGAGATTAATACACACTTCTCAGATGAAGAAGTACAAATAGCAAATAAATATATGTAAAGTGTTCAACATCACTAGTTATTAGACAGATGCAAATTAAAATGACACTGAGATTCTATCTCACCCCAGAAAGAATGGCTATCATCAAAAAATCAACCAATTGGGCTGGGGATTTAGCTCAGCGGCAAAAGCGCCTGCCTGGCAAGCGCAAGGTCGTGAGTTCGGTTCCTGGTACCGGAGGGGGAAAAAAAAAATCAACCAATAACAAATGCTGGCAGGAATGTGGGGAGAAAGGAACCCTTCTTCACTGTTAGTGGGAGTGTAGACTGGTATAACTACCGTGGAAATAAGTATGGAAATTCCTCAAAAAACTAGGATTAGAAGACCCATTTGACCCAGCTTTTCCCCTTCTAGGTATCTTCCTAGAAGAATTAAAAACATCATACCACAGCAAAACAAGTGCACCCATGTTTATAGCAGCACAGTTTGGAATAGCTAAATCTTGGAAACAACCTAAATGCCCATCAGCTGAGGAATGGATAAAGAAGATTTGGGTTTTTTATCCAATGGAATACTACTGAGCTGTAAAAAAGGATAAACTTGAGACATTTATAGGTAAATGGATGCAACTTGAGACCATAGTCTTAAGTGAAATAAATCAGACTCACACGTGCAAGTGTCTCATTGTCTCCCTGGTGTTAGAAACTGGAAAAGTAAATAAGGATCAAAATGTACAATAGATATTGTAAAATGGGAAGAAATTGTTCAAAAGGAAAGAGGAGTTAGGGTGGGGTAAGGGGGAAAGGAAGGCAGCAAAAAGGAAAAACCTGATTTTAAAAAGGATAAAATGGAAACAAAGCTTTGTAAATAAGAAGGGGAAGAGGAGTTGTAGAGAGGAGAGGGGATTGGGGAAAAAAAGAGGAATCAAAATATATCATGTAGGGATACAAATTCCCTATGATGATTATGATCATTATGAAAATGTACCAATAACCTTAATTTTAAAAAAAAATTTTAAACTCCACACCAAGGTGAACTCCATGATAATGAGGAGAACCTGGGCAGAGTTCCAGGCCTCCCATTTCCCCTCAACTGGGTGTCCCTGCTGTGATCTGGACTCACTAAGTTGCACCACAGTTGGTCAAGGGTGTACAAGGCTGAGGTGGTGAGTGTGGAGCACAAAAAAAATCAACAAATGGAATTATAGCAAATTTAAAAGCTTCCAAACTGCAGAAAAACAGAATGGAAAAAGATTGCCAGCTACCACTCAAACAGAGGATAAATACCTACAGTATACAAATAACACAAAAAATTAACCCCCACAGGGGGAAAACCCATCAAAAATGGGCAACTGAAATGAACAGACACTTCTCAGAAGAACTACAAATGGCCAGTAAATACATCAAGGAATATTCAGTATTGCTCGTCATTACAGAAATGCAAATTGAAACAACACTGAGATTTTATCTCACCCCAAAAAGAATGGCAAGGATCAAGAAAACAAATAAGAGCAAATTGCTGGAGGGGCTGTGGGGAAAAGGAACTGCTCTACATCCTTGCCAGGAGGATAAACAGGAATAACCATTATGGAAACCGACATAGAGATTCCTCAATATGCTTAAGACAGAAATTCCATTTGAGCCAGCTATTTGCCTTCTAGGTATGCTCCTGAAAGAATTAAAGATATCACATTACACAGATAAATGCATGCTCTTGTTTATAGCAGCACAATACCTAGCAGGTAAATAATGGAAGTGACCCATGTGTCCATCAATAGATGAATGGATGAAGAAAAGGTGGTATTTATGCACAGTGGAGTACCACACTCCCATAAAGAAGGATAAACTGGAGTCTTTGGTAGGAAAATGGATGCACATTGAATCCATAATGGTATTAAAATAAATCAGACACACAAGCTTAAAAATTGTGTGGCTTGTCTTGTATGAGAAAGACAAAGTATAGATAAATCAAAGAGCAAAATAAAAGACAGACAACAAATACAGAGATAGAACTTGGTCAAATGTTACAGGAACTCCGAGAAGTTGGGAGAGGGAGAGGAAAAAGGGATGTAAAAGGTTAAGAGGGTCATGCACATGTACCAACTGCCCACCATGAATATTCATTATGTACTGCACACTAGTGCTAATAATTATTTTGAAAGAATGGAGAAGTTAGAGAGCAGAGGAAGTGGGTCAGGTTGGCACACGTTCTCAGGTGCCGACTTGGCACCTGGAGCAGGAGGGCAATGAACATTCGGTAGACAAACCACAGGACACTGAACAAGGAACCAGCGCAGCAAGTTGGGTGTCAGTCCCCACATCCGCCCCCAGATCTCCTCATTGCTTTGGGCCTAGAGACCCCAGGCCTGGCAGGGGCCTCAGATGCCATCAGTGCCCCACACCACATCACCTGCTTCGCATTTAAACGTTCCTACTCATGTTTACAGGCCTTCTTTGGGCAGCCCCTTGTCCAAAGACCTTGTTTTGACACTGAGCAGCCATAAAGCTTATTTCCCTCTGGTCCACTCCAGGTCACTTGAAGTCAGGGGTGTCTCTGCCCAGATCCATCTCATGAATACTGGGGATCCCTCCAGGATATGGCCTTGGATTGAGGCCTCTTGGGGCCTCAGGGGCTTTCAGGACACCAGAATCACAGTATGTGCAGAACGACATCAGTGGAGGGAAGGGGGAGAGGAATGGGAGTGGTGAGTTTGTGAAAGAAAGAGGGAGGAGATGAGAGGGAGGAGAGGAGGAGGAGCCAAGGTACCGCAGGGGCTGCATAGAGGCTTGGGTAAGAGGGCTGGAAGCCTTCAGATGTGATGTACACTACCAACACAAACTTCACGTGGGTACCTGAGGCGTTGAGGACAAATCGGAGCGCGTCAGGGTGGCACAAAGTGACCACGGGGAGGATGGGGCCAAACCACATCAAAAAGCCTTGGGGGTAGGTGCGCACCGTCTGAGCCACGAACTTCAAACCTTGCTCCGTGGGAGGCACCTGCATGCAAGACATTGATGGTCAGCATCTGAGACGGCTCATTTCAGGTGTCCTCCGGGCTGAGCCAAGGGGCACCTAGACACCTGGTGAAACATGATTCCTGATGCATCCAGGGAGATGTTTCAGAAGACATTAACACACTGGCATCCATAGTCTAAGAATCCACCTGCCCAAGCTGGGTTGCATTATCCAATCCACTGAGGGTTCAGAGAGAAAACAAGGCAAAGGGAGGACAAATTCACTCCTGAGCTAGTCCCTCCCTCTGTCCTGCCCTTGACCTCAGAACTCCAGGTCCTTGAGACTCCAGACTGCAAGATTCACACCAACAGCTGCGCTCTGCCCTAGACCTGGGAATCCCTGACCAATGGACTTAGACTGTGTGAACTATGCCACCACCCTCCCCGGTTCTCCAGTTTGCAGATGGCATACAGTGGAATTTTTAGTCTTCAAAATTACATAAGATGATTCTCATAATAACAAATCCCCCACATACTTTTCAGGCATATATGTGGGTGTATGTGTTCCTGTGTGTGCATGTGTGTGCACCTGTGTGATAGGAAGAGCAACAGAAAAGGAGCTGTCCCATGAAGGAGAGCAGGAAGTCAGCCCATACCTCTCCTCTGCCTCAGCTGTGTCCCTGTCTTGAAAACGGGAGTCTCAAAGCTAATTCATGTGAAAAACCAAACCCTGAGATGGGCTGACACAGAGATGGGATCCAGGCAGGCAGCAGACCCTGGACAGTGCCCTTGGGATGGTGCAAGACCAGCAGAGGAGAATGTGAGAAGAGAAAGGGGTATGCACTCTGCGTAACCCCCCTGGGAGACCGGGACAGGTGCAGTTGTATTAGCAGCACAAGGCGTGTGGGAGGACAGGGCTGCGAGACAGGCTTGGCATGGGACCTGTGGAATGAGATGGGACCTGTGGAATGAGCATGTTCATATAAAATGTGTGAGTCTCCTTCTGTGTCAGCAGAAAAATGAGTGAGCCATTTCCCTGGCTTCTCCAGGTCTTGCCCTGACACCCAGCTCCCTGATCCCCTTTCAGAACCCTCAGGAATCTACTCACCTTGATGCTCTAGAATATTTCTTCCACCACACTCACCTGCCCCAACTGACCCAAGAACCAGTTCCGTTTGGGGGGCTGAGGGAAACATCGGAGGTGCTGAAGGTTTTCATAGAAGGCATAGGTCCAGGTCAAAATTCGGGTCAGGAGCCAGAAGACCCCCAACAGCATCAGGAGCAACCAAGGAGAGGCTGCCACCGGCCCCAGATCCAGCCAGGACAAGCTCAGCTGTGTCATCCTGCAGGACAGAGGGGACAGATGAAGAGTTTCTCAGGCCCAGGAAGGAGTCAGGGACCTCCAGTGTCACTGGATAGGGGCAGGAGCTTGGGGATTTAGAAGAAGGGCAAGTACTAGGAGGGAGACCCAGGGCAATATAGGGAAATATGCCCAGAGAAGCGGGAGGGAGAACAGGGAGCGAGAGGAGGAGGAGCAGGAGGGGAAAGGGGAGGGGAAGAAAAGGAAGAGAAGAGGGGAGGAAGAGCGGTAAGTGGATGAGAAAGAGGAGAAGAGGAGGAGAGAAGCAGTGAAAAGAAGGAAGAGGAAAACAGATTCGAACACTGACCTGTCGTATAAGTATGTAGCTAGAAGCTACAACCCAAAACCCACAAATTTCCTGGCCACTCACTGGCAGGAACTGCCCTTGTCTTGGCCAGCACCCTCCCCATCTACCCGAGGTGAGATGGCCAGCCAATCCGCCCAGGCCCAGCTGCCTACACCCTACTGGGCACATGGCCAACATATGGAAACAGAGCCAGCTGGCTGCAAAGGCAATCCAACCTAGGATCGTGCAGTTTGATTTTTATAACTTATCACATGCCATAAGGGTGTGGACAAGGTTGAGGGATGAGCAAAGGTCACTGTGAGTCCCATAGTTTCAGATGCCCTGCCCTTTTAAGACCAGGGTGTAGAAGGTGAAGCATAAACAGAAGAACACAGGTTCCAGGAGACCAGGGCCAGCCCAAACCTGGTCCCGGATCATCTCCCATTCTCCTCTCCATGTGTGAGCTGGGAGGGCAGCATGCACCATTTCTCAGTGCAGAATTGCCAGGTAGAGATGGGAACCTCTGGCCTACCAGCTGCACAGCCTGGCAGAGTATAGACCCTGGGTCTGGATTTGGCTCAGACTCATACAAGCAGGAGCAAAGAAAGAATCCAGCCCCACTGGAGGTAACTCAGGTCAGATTTGAGAAATAAAAAGCTGACCTTTAAGAACATACCTGAGGGGGGCTGGGGATTTAGCTCAGCGGCAAAGCACCTGCCTGGTAAGCGCAAGGTCATGAGTTCAGTTCCCGGTACCGGAGAAAAACCAAAAAAAATAAAAATTAAAAAAAAAAAGAACATACCTGAGGGCTGGGCTCTGCTGGCTGTAGGACCTGGTCGGGAGGAGGTAAAACAGGGAGGTGAGGCTGAGAGAGACCTCCGTGATGGTCAGACAGAGGGAGGCAGAGAGAGCCAGGGGACCCCCAGGTGGAGTCCGCATTCTGCCTCTTTCTCTGTTTGCCATTAGGCCAGCATTCCTGGGCTCAGCCTTCCCTCTGGGAGGTGGGGTGTCACATGAGGGCCTTATTGCAGTGCAGAAGAAGGCTCCACAGAGAAAGGAGCCTCCAAAAAAGGAGTGAAGGAAAGGGGCTGGCAATATTTCCAGTGCTGCGACCCAATACTGTCCCTATGCAAAAGACTACAGGTAAAGTACTTCTGTTGTATGCTGAAAGCTCCACCTAAAGTGTGCCTACTGTGTGCCAAGAGCTTTCCATAAAGAGTGCCTACTGAAGGGCCCCTGATCTGTATAAAACAAGTGTACTGGATGCACCCTATTCTACATTACACATGTCTACTATGGGCCAAGTTCTCTCTTTGAAGCACACCTGCTAGAACCTGAGGATACAGGGAGGGAGACATATGATGGCATCTTTTTTTTGAGGTAGGGTCTAGCTATGTAATTTAGGCTGGCCCTGAACAATGTAGCCCAAGCTGGCTTCAAATTCATGGCAATCCTCCTGCCTCATCCTCCTTAGTGCTGGGATTACAGTTGTGCACCACCAAGCCTGGCTACACGATGGCATCTTTACAAGACCCATTTTATGGAAGGGTAAACTGACACTCAGAAAAGGTGAGCCTCTAGCCCAAGTTGCACAGTTGTAAAGACATGGGTCTGTTGGACTCTTCAGCCCAAACTGGAGAGTCATCACTATTCACTGGGGGTGATGCCTTATTAATCCAGGACATTTATAATGGTGGAATTTTGGAGACTGTGATTGCTCCAGATGAGAAACATTTTGAGGACATTTTTATCATCACGTGGTCGTTCTGCACTAGGAATGCTCCACAGAACAGATCTTGTATTCCTCCCCTGGCCCTCCCTGCATCCTGTCCAGAATTCCCCCTGGGGTGGGGCCACATGGTGGTTGGCAGGAAGCATTGGCTCGCAGCAGAGCTGCTGAAAGGAAAGGTGGAGGAGCCACAGTCCTCCCTGCACTGTGTTATGTATCTAGATGCCCCCGCAAAGCCTCATGTGCTCATACATAAGTGGAGAGTTTCAACTGTGGCTGGATTAGGGTTATGAATGTGGATTAAGGATGTAATACTGGGATTAAGGTGTGGCTAATGGAAGCCCCACACTGGGTATGGGCGGCACCAATCAATAGGTTTATCAGGGATGGAATATAAAGGGAGAGAGAAGGAAGGCAGGATTCTTGCTGCTGCCGCCGCTGTAGCTACTGCTGCTGCTGCTCCTGTCGCTGCTGCTTCTGCTGCTCACTGCTTTGACTCCTTGCTGTCTTCCTGCCTGCTACGGCATGGACTGTTTCTCCTCCGCAATGCCTCTCTGCCATGCTGCCCCGCATTGGAACCAACCAGCTTTAGACTGAAACCTCTAGAAAGTGTGAGCTGAAATAAACCTTTCCTCCTTTAACTTTGGATGTTGGGTATTTTGTCTCAGCAATGAGAAAAGTAACTAAGACACACTGGTAGGATGTTAGGAAAGCTCCAGACCTCCCACTACCCACCTACTACCACCTTCAGGCAGAATTCTCCCTTGAATCCTTACCACCACTCTGGCTGGTTCTTCCATGTCAAGCTATCTTACTCACTTTTCTTGTAGCTGAGACACAATATCCAACACCTGCATCTTAAAAGTAGAAAGGTTTATGTTCGCTTAGAGTTTGTAGAGGCTTCAGTCCGTAGTCAGCTGGCTCCATGGCAGGATGGCATGCGGGACAAGAAACAGAGAAAGAGAATGTGAGGGAAGGAACAGGGAAGAGATGAACCCTTCCAGGCCATCCCCCCAATGACCCACCCCTTCCTACTGGAGCCCGTATTCAAATAGCAAGGCATCTATAACTCCTCAGTGGATTATTCCACAGATGACTGTCAGGCACCCATGACCCAATCACCTTCCAAAAGCCCCAGGAAGCTTTGGGGGGACTTCCAGATATAAACCATAACACAGGTCAGGGGTGAGGCCAGAGTATGATAAACTGGGGCTGGGTCCTGGAGCCTCCCTAGTGGCTGAACTCACTGCACATCTGCCACACGCCTGGGGGACTCAGGCAGCCTAGAGCAGGGGTATGAGCCACCAAAGCCAAATGCCTCCATATGTCACTGACCCCACTTTAAGTCCTTTAAGTATGTTAGGCTTTTTTCCTCCCTATTTTTGGATGAGGATTAAAAAAAAGAATTCAACTGTAAGTTGTCTTTGGGAGAAGGTCCCAGGAAGCACTAGTAGCGCAGTGGAGAGGTGAGATGCGAGGAAAGGGCAGAGTTAAAAGGAGCATGGTGAAGGGACGTCTACCTTGGGCAACTAGGCTCAGTCCTGCTGGGGAGCTCTGGGACACAGACCGGACAGGTCCTTCAGATCGTCCCGCCCAGAGTGAGGGAGCCGGCCCGTGTGTCCACCGATTTCCCCTCGCTAGTACTCAGCGCTGCTTCCAAGGCAGTGTTTCTCTCCCTGCTCCACCAGGGCCAGGCCTGGGGACAGAGACCAGGATGCTTACGGTGACTTAAACCGTAAGCACGCATGGGTATGAACAGTTACAGGCACTCAGTGATTGCGACATACACTCACATATGTGCACAAACTTAAACACCCACACGGTGTACAAATACACACACAAACACACACTACCCTCTAACATACACACAATTACATACCCACCCAGAAACACATGCAGCCACCAACACACGTGTGCATACAGTTTCATAACTGCACAATCACACAGAGACTTACACACTGTCACACAGTCTGTCACACACACTGAACTATGGTGACTCCTTTGAGCCTGTTGTTCCCACATTTTCCAGAAGATGGCGCTGCATCCCCCACTCAGTAGAGAAAAAGTTCCCACTGCTTCCAGGCTGTGAGAAGCACACAAGCAGACGCAGAGGCAGAGTCCTGGGGACCTGCAGACACACGCTTCCCTCTCTCTCCATCCGCTCACCATCATGATCCTGGGAAGAATCCCAAAGCCTATTGGAATAATAAGGGAGACATTTAATACTCCAAATACACTTGTTACGGTTTAGATCTAAAGTGTCTCCAACTGCCAAACATCTTCACTGGAAGAAAAATAGCTTCTTCAATAAATGGTGCTGGGAAAACTGGTTTTCCACATGCTGAAGATTAAACCTAGACCCACATCTCTCACTGTGTACTAAACTAAAATCAAAATAGATCAAAGATTCTAAATATTAAGACAGAACACTAAATCTTCTGGAAGATAGAATAGATAAAACTTTTGAAGACATAGGTGTAGGCAAAGACTTTATAAACAAAACCCTGACTGCACAGGAAATACACAAGGAACAAAAAAACTTGGATCTCATCGTACTAAAAAGCTTTTGCGCAGCAAAAGAAACCACTAACAGAGTGAAGGGACAACCCAAAGAATGGGAAAAAAAATTTAACAGCTATTCCTTGGACAAAGGACTAATGCCTAGAATACATAAAGAACTACAAAAAATCAGACCCCCTAAATTTAAAGACTCAATCCAAAAATTAACATCTGAAATGAATAGGCACCTCTCAGATGAAGAAGTACAAACAGCAAATAAATGTATGAAAAACTGTTCAACATTACTGATCATTTGAGAAACACAAAACACTGAGATTCCATCTCACTCTAGAAAGAATGGCTATCATCAAGAAATCAACCAATAACAAATCCTGATGAGACCGTGGGGGAAAGGAACACTTCTCCACTCTTGGTGGGAGTGTAAACTGGTATAACCAGTATCAAAACCAGTATGGAGTTTCCTCAAGTGATATGTGTGCACTCATGTTTATAGCAGCACAATTTGTAATAGCTAAATCTTGGAAACAGGACAGATGCCCATCAACAGATGAACAGAGAAAGCAAATGTGGTTTTTATATACAATGGAGTACTACTCTGCCATAAAGAAGGATAAGCTTGAGACATTTCTAGTTAAATGGACTCACCTTGAGACCACACGTTTAAGTAAAATAAATCGGACACAAATATCACATTGTTTCTTTTGTCTGAGAAATCAAAAGAGTAAGTAAGGACCAAAAT